CAGTTGGATGGGGGAGGGGGAGAGGTTTTAGTGGAAGTACTAAATTGGTGAATATCATTCTTAAACCACAACACTACATTATTAATTTATTCTTTTAAAAGAAATTCTGTCTTTAGCCAAAACCCAAGCAAAGTTATACTATAACAATACTACAACTAATTTTTTTTCTTAAATCCTTTTTTTTGCCACAATCAAAACAAGTAAAAAATAAGTCCCAATTATAGCATGCTTAAAATGTATTTTATTTACTAGGCATCAAAGTTCTGAATGACATATAATATAGTTCCATAAGTAAAGAAAGAGCTTTTAGGGTTCCTTGAACTCAATACAGAGATAATATCATCATGTAGACCTGTTGCTGATAATTGCAATGATGGAGTCCAAAGAAAAATTTCTGTAATGAACACAAAACCAAATTAACCAAATTAATTAACCAAAACCACATAGACTTTTGGATACAGGTACCTGAAACTCTACTCTCTTGTTAGATAACAGAGTGAACTGTACTGTGCTAACAGAGTACTATTTCTCCATTATTATCTGACTGGTTTAATAGCCACACTTCAGAATTTTCTTCAAATTAAGTCTAAAAGCAATCACAAAAATGGATATCAATGAGATGGTGTAAACATTTGGGTCTAAATGACAAAGATATGCCTGAGGTTTTGTTCCTTAAATACAAATTTTCCAATGCAGCAAGATCTGTTCTCTAATCCTAAGGAACATGTGTAGACTCCCCCCAGATTTTTGAGGAAAAAAATGGTAATGAAAAATGGGACAGGTTCCCATTTGTTCCTTTCAGCTTTTTCAGTTGTTTCCATTCTATTTCTCTTTTACATCCTTTGCCTCCACTGACTTCTGAATGAGGCTTATCAAAGGGACAATGGGATTACATTTGTATCAGAGGAAATCACTAAATAATGTTGAGAAGTGTCACTTTCTGGAAAAGAGTACTAATACTTCTTTGGGGTCTGTTAGATAATAGTCTTCTGTACTATCAATTCTTAATTTAGAAGCCAACGTAGTTTTTGTTCCCAAGGATAAGCATTCTGATTTTTTTTTAGCTGTATTATCAAGGGAAGCTTGAACTACAAGCATCAAGGAATAAGGTTGTAATTTTAAAATATTAGAAAATTCAATTAGACTGGAGACAGCAAGTGAACTTCTTATATGTATTTTCCTTCTGCTTGGAAAATCTTTCTGAATTAAAAATCTCCCTTTGTTGTCAATATCTACAAGTGAATAAGTTTACATGTTAGGCTAATTTCATGTGACAACAGCAAGCAGTCCCACATTGACAGAGGTTGACATACAGTACGACTAACACAGAAACAACACAGAGTTTCTGTCAGTAACAAAATACATGTTTTAAGTTGAAGTCTGTACCTGCTAGCATGCCAGAGAGCCAGCAGCCAGCTCTAAGCACATTTGCTGCATATTTTTAAGGCTGTCACATCACTAAATCAAAGTTGCTCCATGATTGCCAAATGGTAGCTCATTAAGCTGAAGAAATTACTAAGTAGCCTCAGAAAAGAAAACAAGCTCAGAGAGAAGTACATGAATAAGACAGTAGCTGCTGCCTTGCTTAAATGGGGGGTGGTACTTCTGCAGTTGTTCCATTTGCTCTATCTTGGACAAGGTTGTCAGGTTTAGAGGAGAGGAAAGGTTGTCAGGTTCAGGAAAGCTTAGGATGCTGTTTTCTTACCTACTGCTCATTCTCTGACTAGCAATGGCTTGCAAAATTGACAAGGTAGGATTTTTTTCCTACAACCAAAAAGCAGACTGTCTAACTAAACTTGCTTCAGGAACAATGATCCACATGCAAAAACTGAGCTGTCGATAATCAGCATGCCTAGGGAAGCATTTAAACGTACTATGACCAAAAGAGAAGTGATTTCAGGTGCAATATCTAAAGCTGCCATATTAATATATTCCTTTAGGGATATCTGATTAGCTTCACTTCCTGATTAATTATTCAGTGAGAATGATACAATTTTTTTTAACCCCCCCCCAAGTGCAGCCCTAATATGAGCCCAGATGAGGAATCCCAGGAAGTTAGGGAACACAGGAATAGAGGAGTGAGGAATAAATGCTCACTGCTGTTCTTTCCTTTTCTTAAACAATAGAAAAAAAGTCTGTTTATATGCTAATAGTGTGCCAAAAAATATACTATAACATCAATTTATTTTATTGAGTGAACAAGTAGTCAACATTAAGCAGATTTATGGTTTTGAAAACAGTTTTATTGTGTGTGTCTGAGGAAATTTCTCTCTTCTAGATAAAGTTGCACTTCAGCTACATAAGGAGTGTATAAATGAACTGCTTTATAGGAATCATTTGGCACATGGCCTGCTTTTAGATTTGTACAAGCAAAATCACATTTGATGGCTCTACAGCCATAATTTAAATCAGCTCTTGGCCTAACTGTGTTCTGAAAAGACCTGCAGCATACCATGGCAACGGGGAAACACCACCTGACATTTCCAATGTTAGATTATAAATATGGGGTAACATTTTAGTGAGAACTGGCTTCTCTGGACTGAGCTGAAGAGAGTAGAGTGGAGTTGCTGGGATAGCAGAGCTCTGTGAAAGCCTGAGGTGGAGGCCACAGTGGAGAGTGCTAGGAAAGAAGGCAGCACAGGGTTTCATTCTTGACAGCCTGTTTACAGATTATGAATGAAACTAAAAAGTTAGTTTGGTTTCAATGTGACTTATTGCCAGTGCACCCAGAAGAAACTCTGTGCTTTTGGGTCTCATATAAATGGTTTTATAATCAGCGTGTTTTCAATAAGATGTTAACTAACCGCATTAAATCACAACACTTTTAAAAGAAACCGCTCTGATTAAGTATGGTCTTATCATTAAAGATTGTCTTTAAAAATGTCTTCATGAAGATCAGATATAATTTTTCCAGTTAGAACAATCTCAGTCTAAAAAAATCAGCAAAGAAGATAAACCAAGGAGCAGGATCTCTTCAACTTTACCAGGCAGAATCAAAGTAGGATTTGCAGGAAGACTGTTGGAAGGTTTGCAGGAAGATGACTCTATCTATAGAGAGATGTAAATGTGATCACAGCTGTACTGTAGTTCAGGGTGTGGATAGCAAAGCCCAGAGGCTTCAGCCAAGCTCTCTAACCCACATGAGCTAGTGTCTCACCCAGGGATTAGAGAGAAAAGGTTCCCTAGGTATTTTAGGCTTCAGTGTGTGTCATGAAGACAGCATGTCAGCCCTTTTTCACATATCAAATCTGTGCATGTCCATAGCCTCAGAAACAGAACAAGGCAAAGGTAGATGGTCTTGGCTTTGCCTAGAACCAAACTATAACCCAAGCCTCATGAAAACAGTGTCTCTTCAGTCCTACTATGGAATGAATCAAAGTCTTTTAATGTATCCATGAACTGACTTTTCATTTCCCTCCCTTCACTCTTCACCCCATTTAATTCCTTAACATCTGGAATACTTCAGAAACAGCCAGTCACACCGGATTTATAAAGTCGGATCAGCCAAACTGTCACAGGAGCAAACACAGGTGGAATAACTCTATTGAGGAGAAATAAACTACTTCTTAGCCCAGAAATGCAGCATGTCATCATCTCAGCTGAGATCGTGCGTGTCAATCTGTGGGGTCCAATTCTTATTTAAACACGTGATAAGTCCTTTCTAAATGTCTTGGTCATCTGCAGAACCTCTTTACGTCTGACTTGCCAGCTGTCTAAATCTTTGTCTGTGCTTGTAGATTGCTGTCTGTCCAAATAAGCCCTGATAACTCACTCTGCTAAGTCCCTCCTTTGTGAAAGCTCAGACGCCCTTAAATGAAAGTAAAATGTACATTTCTTACAGGACACATTTCCTCTGAGCTTCTCTCCAGTACATGCAGATCCTTCGACTATTGCTCCCATGAAAACTGACATTGTCTAAAGGTGTGTGGAGCTGATTTGGTCAAAGTTAAACTGGAAGAATTTGGGGGGTGATATTTTGTTCTCATGCTGACAAACTTGTCTTGGACTCTGGAAATAAGCTCTACCCAAGATAACAGGTCTGTTTGTCGTTGGGTTCTGACAGAAGTGCCTTCAACAAAGAAAAGATTTCAAAATCATTTTACAATCAATTCTGAAATGTTTTTCAGTTGGAGTATTTAAGGGTGAAAAAAGAAATTCATTAGAATATTTCTGATTGTGAAGTCCTTCTGCAGAGAAACAATCAGTTCTGCCCTCCTGACAAGAGCTCTGTGCAAGGGCTGTGACATATCCTAAATTAATATTCTATTTTGATTTAAAGTAGAGATCGAGTAAATCATTATGGTGTATCCAACACATGTCAATGGCAACTGATGAATTGATGACTCAGCAGAGTTATTTCCAGATCAACTGTGAGGTGAACCTGAAAATAATACACTTCTAGTAGTGATGCTGTATTTTGCATATTTCTTTTTCACAAGAAGCAGTCAAAACGCAGATTATATTTACTTTGAAAACAGCCATATCATCTATATATTTGTATTCAAGCAAATTAGTTTAGTAGCAGATATATTTGCTGAAACAAATGAACCTAATGTGGAAAGTTGCAGAGCGATCATTCAAAATAGATAGTTACGAATGTCAACACTGGGAAACCAATTCCAACAGCAGTGTTCATCCAGTCATGAAAAGAATACTTCTACATACAGTTAAAAAGCCTAGAACACAAATATTCTCAGTTAATGCCTTGCAAGCTTGCTACTAATCAATAAATTGAATGCAATACTTGAATTTTAAACTCAGAAAATCATGAACAAAGCATGAGCAGCTTTGAACACAAAAAAGACAATGCACACAGAATACAGAAGCACTCACCCATCTTATCAGTAATAAGGCTTTTCAGGCATTCCTGTCCATCACTGTTTAGATAATCTATTCTGGATACAAAAATTAGCATTGCTTTCATTTTGCCCTAATGAATTCCAGTATATTAATATCAGATTCTAGATCGCCTGTGTAGCACACTGTGATTTTGTACTTACCAGGAAGAGCAGCTGAGAGACTGTCTCCAGTTTATAATGGTCAGGCATTTTGGCAATGGGATGAAACACTGCAGGACCCATGACAGTGGCCCAATGTTATTGGCTGGTGATGACTTTCTTTTCAGAGATTGATTCTTTTTCATTATATTTCTGGCTGAGTGCAGGTGTGGAGAATAATAGCCCATGGCAGCAAAGAAGAAGATGAAAGTCAATAAAAACTGGAGATGAGAAAGAAAATTCATTTTTAGGTTGTGTTAGCTGTTGCCCTTGTGAACACGACTACATGCTTTTTCACATAAGAGCAAAGAAAGTCAACGTGTAATCTTTTCTCGTTAACCCTCTTTCTACTTTATGCAATATAGGAAGTAAAACATTTTTTAATATATCTATATGTCTTTGGGTGCGTGTCAAGTATTCAGCCTAAAAGCAACCCGAAACCATTATTTTGTACCACAGAGTACAGATAATTTTGGCAGAACAGATTTTCTGTAGACCTGGATACGGATTTGAATTCTATTTAAACACATTGAACTTCCTGGTTACAGATTTTTATGATCTGTATCCATGTGGGAGGAGAGAAAAAAATACAGTGGAAATTTAAGGGCTTCCTAGAATCTTCCCTTTCTTTCTCCAGGTTTTGATAATCAGTTGTGTCAATTTTTTTAATCTTTTTTTTATTACAGTAAATTTAATATTTTAAAAAGCTGAAACAGCATTTTATTTCCACTCCTGAATAGAATGATGAGAGACTATTTTCCTAGGGAAGTTGTCACAGCAAAACCTTTTAAAATTCCTCTTATAATAGTGCATTCACATAGCTATAGTACACCAATGTGTATTTAGCTTACTAGTAGAATAAATCACATTATTTGTATTACAGACTGAATTATTATACTCCTACCCACATGCTTTCCTATTCTGTCAAGCAGTTTAATAAGCAAATGTAGCAAAGGTTCATGATTTTTCCACAAGACAAAAAAAATTTGGTTTAGTTACTAGTATTATTTCTTTTTGCACATTACTTTCTCACAAATTTAGATAGTAAGCAGTCTTTTCTAAGCTTTACTATTTCTCGTAGAAAGGAATAATGTTATACCTAAATTTGGAATAAAATATATTGTGAGATGTTCTGAGTAAGGACCTCTTTTAATGTATTTTATTAAGAATCTCAGAAAGTGAAATTAGCAAAGAGAAAAATTAAAGGTTTAATTACAAATGGCAATGCAAAATCATGAGTGTCATGGGTTTACTTGTTCTAAAAATCCAAACAGGAATTTTCTTTCCCCTGCTGCAATGTGGGGGAGAGATGTTGCCTGGGGAGGACAGTTTTCTGAGTTGGGTAATCGACCTACACAAAGGAGCTGGCTGGCAGAACTACATTCCAGGATGATAGTCCTCTCTAAGGTTGGGGGGCGGGGAGGGGAGGTGTGAGGAGTTTTTCTCCCCTTCTCTCCTTGGAAAGCGGCACTTCACTTTTTGCCTTAATAGGGGCAAGGTGTTTGCTGGAAAAGCTCTGAGGCCATTTTTGCTCTCGACCTGGTCATCTGGCTGTTCTCTGGCCTCGGCTTGCCTATGGCCTGCTCTGTCACCAGCCGGACCTGCTCAGATTTCATCGCAGAGTTTGTGCTCAGCAAGGAAAGGGGGGATTCCCGGCCACAGCCAGCCGCAGACATCATGAGTTTCGTGGGAAAGAAACTGCCCTCCTTTCCCCGTTTTCCCCTTCTCCTCCTCGGTGAGGGGGAAGATCTCCATTGTCGCTTCTCCAGCACACCGAGGCCTCACGCTGTGACTGCCAGGGCCCAACAGCCCCCCCGCTGACCAACACAGAGCAACTGCAGGCTCTGCTCCTCCAGAGATCCAACAGTGCCCCTTGCATGGATAGAATCATGCTAGAGGACAGAGAAGTATCACACTGTTTCCTTTTTGAAGGAGACAGGATTATTGTTTAGTTGTTTTTATGTTCTTTTGCTGTTTTTGCCAATATACATATATCATTTAATAAAGGGTTGTTATTTCTTCCTTTCTCCATACTTCCTCATTTGGAGCCTCTTAATTTAGGATTTACAATTGCTGAGAGAGAGGAGTTTGGTCTGCCTAATAATTCATCCTCCTTAGCAAAACACTTCAGTCTCCTTAAACTGGGACAATGAGAATGATTATAAATGTCAGCATTTCTGTGATTTTCCTTTTGACCTCAATAACCACAATCTATTCCTGACAATACACATAAGCTGTACTCAGCAACGTTAGAAATCAAGTACATCATACCAGCACAGGAGGGTGTAAACACTACTGTGAGGGTGCAAGCAAGTAAAATCAGCTACAACATACAAATAACACAGAGATGGAAATAAGTAACATGTTGTGGAAAATGCATTTTTATCTGGCTTTGCTTTCATAAGCAATAAACTCCGGTAATAGTATACAGCCATTGGGGGCATGTATGCAGATAAAGACAGAGATACATGTGTGATTGTAACAAACGTGGATAGAGCCTTCCGAAATCTTCGTTCGCGAAGCCTAGCCATGACATGACATGACATGTGTGAACACACTCTTAGTTATACAATGATTTCTTCTTTTATTCTGGTTTTTTTTTTGGTTGGTTTTTTTTCTGGTTGGTTGGTTTGTTTGTTTTTGACAATCACAGTATCACAGAATGATTTGGTTTGGAAGGGACCTCACAGGACATCTAGTTCCAACCCCTTCTGCCATGGGCAGGGACACCTTTCACTAGACCAAGTTGCTCAGAGCTCCATCTAATCTGACCTTGAATGATTCCAGAGACAGACCATCCACAGCTTCTCCGCACAACTTGTTTCAGTGCCTCACCACACTCAAGATAAAAAATTTCTTCCTAATATCTAGTCTAAAACTGCTCACTTTCAGTCTGAAGCCGTTACCCCTTATCCTATCATTCCATGCCCTTTTAAAAGGCCCATCTCCAGCTCTCTTGTAGACCTCCTTTAATCCATTAAATGTATTTTCTTTTTATTACCTATAGTATCTTTTAGAAACTTCTGACTGTGTAACCAGGCTGAATAATGGCATACAGCTACCTAAACATGCTGAGAGTACTATGCTTCATTTTGAGCTTCAGTTTGCACCTGGATCATATCATTATATTCAGCAGTGTCATAGAGTGTACAAAGCTTTCCATGTTTAGAATTATGAATGTCATTTAGAAATAAGAGGTAAACAAGAAGAGTTCAACAATAGATAAAAAACTGGAAAAACATTATGAAACCCACTTAGAAAAACCCTCAAAACCAGACTATCTTCATTTATCAAATATATTTAAATATAATAGTATGCATAACAAATTATTATATTTAAAGTTGTCATAAAAGTACAGTGTCATGCTCTAGCCCTCCTACCGAGACCCAAACCAGATGCCACTCACTCCCCTTACCCCCTTTGCACTCCAGGGATGGAGTTGAGAATTGGAGGCATAAAAAATGAAAATTACTGGTTTAGAGACAAACAATTTACTGGAAACAGCAACGAGATCAGAAAAGGAACAGTAACAGCAACAATACTAATAAGAGAAGTATACAAAAAGAGAGAATGATTCACATGCAAAAATGCTCACTACAGAGCCCAACCCAACCGCAGCCATGTTTTCCTGACTGGAAAGGAATGCCTTTCTTCCCAGAAGTGAGAGAAAACAGTCCCTTCCCCCTGCCCCCTGGCAATGACATAAGATGCTTTCGAATAACCTTAGGGTCTTGGCCACACCCACTCAGCACAGCACACTGCAGCCCAGAACTCCTGCGCTCAACCGATCCGGTGGGCTCAGCCTCTCCAACAACTGGGAACAGAGATATGCACTACCACACCCAGCTACTGTAAACAAAAATTAACTCTGTCTTGGCCAGAACTAGGACACATACAAAAAAAGGACAAGAAACTATTTCCATGTCATATAGTAACAGTGGAAGATGAACTGCCTGTGAAAACTTGCTATCATGGATCTGGATCACGGCTTCATCAAAGTCACAAAGGAGCTGAGGGGATTGACGTAGGAAGCAGAATTAAGTAGTGGAGGAAGTGCATGAGGACAAATAGGTCTCACAATGCACCAGCAGGATCTCTGACCTGTATTGGATCTCCTTTCAAGTTGCTTTGGGAAAGATTCAAACACTTGACTCTAGCCAAGGATGCAGATCTCCACCAGGTCCTGTATTGTAGCTACCAGTAGCCACATAGGTTTCTCTCATATACTATATTATCTACAGTGGTGCCAGACACCCATATACAGGCAGGCAAACCCCTGTGACACCAATAGTGTTCGCTACAGAGATGAAATTTTCCTAAATATTTACTGATTACTTCAAAGACAACATTAAAATGTTACTAAAGAAGATTTATAGACTACATAAGGCTTGATGGACTGGTAAGCACTGAAAAGGTAGGTAGAGACACAAACCAGTCAGCCTTTGGAGACACTACTTTAGTTTAACAAAAAGTGTCAGCAATACACATACTAGGTGGATGACTATTTTGGAAAGTAGTGATAAAGTATTTGGGAGCCATAGGAAATAATAAGCAGAAGGTGATGATTTTATAGCCAGCAATATCTTACTTGGATTGTAAACTTAAATGTCTTTTACATAAGGAGAAGTTATGCTACTCCTTTAGATATTACTCATGAGTGCTTCTGTTCTCCCATGCCTGCTAGAACTCCTTTCCACCTGAGTCTGAACACACAACCCCTCTGAGAAGCTGCTTCTCACTAGTTAGATTCTCCACAGCTTCCTGCATCATGACAAATTTAAGCTGTAAGTAATAAAAAGTGTCAGGTATTTGAGCTGTCACAAATATTTTCATAATAATAAGACTGCTTCTCCTTTGCCAAGAAAAATCTGCTCATCGTCCTCAGAATATTTAGTAGAGATGGCACTGAAATAAGGTCAACATAGGCTTGGGGCCAAGAGTATGGAAAAACAACCTCTGACTTGATTACCTTTTAATGTCTGGTTCCTTTCTCTGGAATAGCCTGAATTAAATCCCAGGTTCCAAACACAGCAGCATTTGTAGGTTTCAAGATCAATATCAGGATATCATGAATGTTTCTTACTACACAGAAACTTCAGTTTGCATCTGAGCTGTTCCTAAAACTCTATGCAGATTCTTCCCTCATTTCTTGTGAATCACCTCCATGAATATGAAACAGGCTGTAGGATTAGAAAGCCATTTCATCAAACTCCTCAGGCCACAACAGGAGTTCCACTTACCTG